ATGTCATGGTCTCCTACCGTCCCGGCTCCAAGAACCTCAAAGCGGATGCCCTCTCCCGGCAAGAGGCCCCGGGCCAGGCTCCCGACCCGGCGGACCCGGTCCTCCCTCCCACCTGCTTTCTCAGTGCCATGGAGTGGGATCTGGACCAGGAATTATAGCAAGCGCCCACTGACAGCATCCCCGCTAATTGCCCATCTGGGAAACTGTTCGTTCCCGAGAACCATCGAACTAACCTGATCTCCTGGGCCCATTCAGTCAGAGGAACCGGGCACCCTGGGCGAAAAACGAACCTATCAGCTCCTACAGGAGAAGTAATGGTGGTGCCGGGCATGGACCAAGAGGTCCGAAGCGCGTATCGCGCCATGTGCGCCCAAGCAAAGGTACCTAGGAAACACCAGTCGGTAAGCTAAGACCGTTGCCCATACCCGAAAAACCGTGGTCACACCTGGCCATCGACTTTATCAACCGATCTGCCCGTTTCGCAAGGGAACACCGTAATCTGTCGTAGTGGTGGACCGATTCCTCGAAGGCCATCCGTTTTATCCCCTTGCCCGCTGCCCCCCCCCTTTGCTACCGCCACTCTCATATTCCAGCACGTTTTCGTTATTCGGCATCCCGAGGAAATTGTCAGTGACCGGGGCCCCCAGTTCACCTCCGGGTGTGGACCAGCTTCATGGAGAAACTAGGGGTGACCGTGAGTCTCACATCAGGCTATCACCCACGGGCCAACGGACAAGCCGGAAAGAATGAACCAGGAACTAGGACGCTTTTGCGAACCTTTTTTGCGCTCGAAACCGGAAGGACTGGAGCACTTTCATACCCTGGGCTGAGTATGCTCAGAATTCCCTGCGGCACTCGGCCACCCAGCTAACTCCCTTCCAGTGTGTGCTCGGGTAACCGCCACCCTTGTTCCCGTAGACGCGTCTCCTGGCTGCGCCCGGCTGTCAAACCGGTGGTTCGAGCAGAGTGAGCAGATCTGGGCAGCGACCCGCGCGCCTCGAAACCATCTCGGGGAAGTACAAACACCAAGCCGATCGCAGAGCGGAGTGACCACCTAACTATCAACGGGGATAGAGTGTGGCTCTCTCTAACCGGGACTTGAAGCAACCTCACAGCTGCAGGAAGCTCACTCTGCGATACACTGGGCCCTATCGAATCCTCCGCCAGGTGAATGAAGTGACGTACCGCCTGAAGTTGCCGCCACATAGTCGAATATCCCGTCGTTCCATGTGTCTCGTCTGAAACCGGTAATGAATGGTCCCCTGGCAGAGGATGTGCCGGCAGCCGAACCCCCGACTCCCCTCCAGATCGAGGGGCAATCTGCGTATCGAGTGAGTCACATCCTGAAATCTCGGCGACGAAGGCAGGGCTTGGAGTATCTGGTCGCGTGGGAGGGTTATGGACCAGAAGAGCAGTGTTGGGTCCCGCGTCGGGATATCCTAGATCCCGAGCTGTTAGAGAATTTACATCGCTCATACCCGGGTCTCCCAGGTCCCAGGCCACGAGGGAGGCCGAGGAGCGTTGGGGCTCCCGGAGTGAGCCCCTTGGGGGGGGGGGGGTCTGTCAGAGCGCAGCCCAGTCGGGACGCAAATTCCCAACAGCCCACGGCGCGCGCATGCGCCCTGCCCGGAGCGTCCCAAACTCGAACTCCCAGAAACCCCCACGAGAGCGCATGCGTGAGTGATCACCGGAATACTAATGAACAACACCTGGTGTCGGCTTTCTTGGAGACACAGGTATTTAAGAAACCACATTTCGAGTTCACGGTGCGAAGTATACGCTCGTAACATTTGTTTGCTGCGATACCAAGCTCTCTGATATCTTCACGACTTCCTGGTTTACCACGACTCTCTGCCTGCATCTGACTACGCTTTTGGATCTTCCGCCTTGTATAACGCTTTCGCTTGTTTACCCCGACGCCTTCCCTGGATTATCCCGCATTCCTTTCACGCCGTGTTCGCTGTCGGCCTCCACCTGCTCCCACGCCTGTGTCCTCCCCACCGCCTGACAATTTTCTGTTTTGGACAAACAGTCGTGTAAAGTTTTAGTCTGAAGTTTATTTTTGTAACACTCAGTTTGTGGATTTTATTTTAAATAAGACAAAAAAGGGTACTGATGGTCTGCCCCACCCCACCTGATTAATCGATTAATCTAAAATATAATAACAACAATCTGACAACTAATCGATGATGAAAATAATTTAGTTGCAGCCATAGATAAAGATGCAAAAATATTTAATGTAAATACACTATATGGCTATAAATATGTAGACACCTGACATACCATTTCAGATTTAGTCCCCCATTTGTTGTATTTAACAGTTAACAGCCTTCAGTCTTCTGGGAAGGCATTCCACTTTATTTTAGAACATGGTGGTGAGAATTTGTGCTTATTCTGCCACAAGAGCATTAGTGAGACAAGGGGTGCTTCTCAATACTTAAATTGATGTTTCCTCGCTCCTCCGTCCTCCAGCCCATGACCAGGAAATCGATCGAAGTCAACCATCTTGAAGGACATATAAATTCTCACATTGCACCGCGAGGAGGTGAGGAACGAGAAGTGAGGAAGCTTCCAGAGGAGCTTGGAGCGAGTATACACAGGTGTATCCTATGCAAAAGTGTTTGTTGTCAAAAAACCTGACTCACATATAAATTCCCCTCTCCTTTACATCTGCCACAATCTCAAACAAAAGTCTTTTGATGTGTTGGAATTTTATGTGAAATATTATCAAATAATGGGCGCACGGTGGCATAGTGGTTAGCACGTTCGCCTCACACCTCCAGGGTCCGGGGTTCGATTTCACGGCATGTGTGTGCAGAGTTTGCATGTTCTCCCCGTGCTGCGGGGGTTTCCTCCGGGTACTCCGGTTTCCTCCCCCAGTCCGAAAACATGCACGGTAGGTTGATTGGCGTGTCTAAGTTGTCCGTAGTGTATGAATGGGTGTGTGAGTGTGTATGTGATTGTACCCTGCAATGGACTGGCACCCCGCCTTGTGCCCGATGCCCCCTGGGATAGGCTCCAGGTTCCCCGCGACCCTGAAGAAGGAATAAGCGGTAGAAGATGGATGGATGGATTATTAAATAATATGCTTTAGAGCTGCAACAACAAATCGATAATAATAGATTATGAATATTGTTGTCAAAGAATCTCATTATCGATTAGTTGGCCTGCATGCGGCACGGGGAATGTTTACTCATTACGTTACTTCTGTTCCGAAAACACGCTTCGGAGAGTAAATACTGAGGTTGTGTCCCAAATGAAGTATACACTTACACTATAGACTGTACTCTACCATCTAGTGTATGAGTTTTAGAAAGGTAATATCGTCTCAAAAGAAACATTAGTGGGTTTTTTTTTGTTTGTTTGTTTGTTTTTTTAACTAACCAGAAGTATAAGCCACTTCCTAGTCGACGGTGCATGACATCATACGCACGTAATGCAACACAGTTAGCTTTAGCAGATACCCAGAGTAACCGACAATGACTTTCTTCAGTTTACTGTTCGTCAGCGTTACCTTTTTATAAAAAGTAATGCGTAAGTACTATTGTATAATATAAACTCGTATATTAGTTTACATTATATACAAGTATTTATGCATATTTTTTTATGGATGCACAAAAATAACTTTTTTTAAACCTAAATTAATAATCTATATTCTGGTGTGTATTGGGTTATTTTCTGTTTTGGACAAATAGTTGTGTAAAGTTTTAGTCTGAAGTTTGTTTGTGGATTTTATTTTAATCAAACGAAAAAAAAATAGTATTGAAGGTTTGCCCATAATATCCCCCCTCTTTGGAATAACTGGCCAACTAATCAGTTATGAGAATAATCGTTAGTTGCAGCCCTAATATGCTTACAATGAGAGTTGTAATGAATCGATGCATGTTTGGATATGCAAAGCCGCACAAAAGATGCAATAACTTATGTATTGTTTATTAATTCATTGTTGAATGTCATTTCACATACAATCAGTGCATTTAGCTTTACTAAGAATGTTGTTATTAACCAAACTCCAACAACATAAAAGCGCATCAACAAACATAAGCATAACGGCAGACCCCTGAAGCGCAGTGAGGTCATCTGGCTGAGCACAGTCCTCATTAATTGATGTCGCTTTGAAGTGAAGCTTGAGAGACTGAGGATATTCCATTTGACTTGCTTCGATTTTTCTCTCCTCACTTCTCATCCTTCTCTAAAGGGGGTGGAACTAAGATGCAAGGAATGATGTGAGGAAAGGAAATGAGTATGCACAAATAAGAAATGAGACATAACCCAGCCATTGATGTAAGGTGTGGAGGCCAGGCACATGGTTGGCGTTCATTCATTCATCCCTAAGGTGTTTAGTGAGGTTGTGGTCTGGACTTTGTGCAGGGCATTCAAGTAATTTCACCCAGAAAAACCATGTATTTATGGTAAATGGTCTGCACTTTTATCCCAAGCACTTTACACTGTCTCAACAACCCATTCACACACACACTCGCACACCAATGGTTGCAGAGCTGCCATGCAAGGTGCTAACTTGCCATCAGGAGCAACTTTCATCAGGAGTGCCTTGCCCAAGAACACTTTGGTATGTGGTGTCATGTGGGCTGGAAATTGAACCGCCAACCCTACGATTAGTGGACAACCTGCTCTACCATCTGAACCACTGCTGCCCGGATCGCTGGCTCTGGCTTTGTGCACAGGCGCCTTTTCACGCTGGAGCAGGTTTGGGCCTCTTGGTTCCAGTGACGGGAAATTGTAATGCTACAGTATACAAAGACATACTAGCTTTGTGGCAACCGTTTGAGGAAAGCTCTCATAAGGGTGTGACGGGTGTGTTCGCATACTTTTGGTCATAGTGTATATGCAAGAAAATCTAGATGTCTGAGGTTATTGTGTGTGTGTGTATTTACATTTACAGAATTTGGCATACACTCCTATCCAGAGCGACTTGCATTTCTCTCATTTCGTGCAACTAATCAGTTGATGGTTTAGAGCCTTGCTCAAGGGACCAGCAGAGGCAGCCTGGGATTTGAACTCATGACCTGGTCGGTAGTCCAGCGTTTTAACCACTGAGCCGTCACTGCCCTTACTGCATGTTTATATCGGCTTTTGTACAATGATGATTGGTACGTGATGGTACAGATTATGTTTTGTGTTTTTAAGTGCTGCTGAATTATGCAGATTGGTGATTTCAGGCTAAAACAAGTGTCTTCTGTGGTTAATGAGGCTGGATGTGGTCTGATTTAATCAAAATGAATAATTGGTGGATGCTTAAATATGAAGCATTTTTGATCAAATATTCACTTGCTTGTTTGATTCTACTCATTTATTATTTCTGGTGCAAATGGTGACTGAACTAGTAAGTGAGATTAGTAATAGATTGATGTGCTAGTGCTAGGACATTTTCCAGAATGTACTGAGCCAAAATGTGACCCTTGGGAGTTACTAACCAGAATGCACCACATTACACCCACAAAAAGAACCTAGATTTAACCCATTTACTTCCGTTCAGTCATGTCAAAGCTATGTCTAAGAAAATGAGCTGTGAATTTACATCATGTCTTTTCTGTTAAATAACGGCGCCTTTGTTTTGGTGGTAAAAGGTTGATGATAAACTGAATCCACATCAATCAGCCGCCTACTGTGGCTTTCATGAAGGTCATGCATGTTTCATAAAGGCCTGGCAAGCAAGCTGCTGAAATTATTTGCAGTTTGCTCTCTAGGGGAAACATGATCTGTCTCCCGTGCCAAAGGTTTCTCTTCAGTCTTCGTCACCCGCTAAAGCCAAAACTCTTCTGCTAATTAGTTTTCTTTTCACTGTTTCTTGGCTGCCATGTTACTTCTGTGTTGGACTTTAGTGTGAAAGTTCAGCAGATAGCTAAATAATTTTGTAGGCTGTCAGCAATCAGCCAACATATGGTTCCCCAGGCTTTTTGTCCGTGTTCGACAATAAGAAAAGGGTTTCTCAAGGGATCTTTGGATAGTTACTTTCTAAAGTGGATCGTTTAAAGGGTTTTGCTGAGGCTCAAACTTAAAAAAAAAAAAACCTTTAATGTGTAATTAATTAATTAATAATGCCCCTATAAAGTTTGTATAGAAAATCGCATTTTAGGAAATCTGAAATGGGTAGACATCCAGAGGAACATTCTAGAGGCATTTTTGACTGAGTATAGGGTGAAATGATGCTCTCTTGAATGGCAGTAGCAAAGTCAAGAGTCAAACTCTCAATGTCTCGATGGCAGGGTTATCAGAAACCTTAGACAGTTGTGCACACTCTTTAGGGAGAACCACTGTGTATGTTTTGACTATGTGAAATGTGAAACTCTGGTATTATCAGGTTTTAGAATTCCTTAGCCCTTTAAACTCAACAGAACTGCATCTGTGGTTCTTTCAACAGAGACGCGATACATCCATTTTTGTGATAAAAAACAAAAACAGTTTTATCTGCCAATATTTTAATTAGTTTGCAGCTTTGTCTACATCTTGATTTAAATCTTGGTGCACGTACAGTGCTGCAAATTAGCTTCGCTTTATCAGTTTAAAAATTTTGGATTACCTAATTTAGCAGGTATTTTATGTAACAGTAGAGACTACGGCTGGGCGATATATCAATATGATAAATTATGCAGTATACTTTTCTGAGACCGTTTTTTTTTTTTTTTTTTTTGTATTTTAATAATTGCAAATGAATTGTTTTGATGTAATTTATTTGACTTTTTTTTAAGTGTTCTTTGTCTTTCTAGGTATTAAAGAAAAGTACCATCAAAGTCAGTTTAATGGTTTTTGTTTATTTTGCTACTGTTTTGCAGACAGTTTGTTAGCTAAATTGTAATTTGTATTATGCATCATGTACTGTAGAAATGTCCTGAAATATTATGATATTTTTCTCATATTTCTCAGCCCTAATAGAGACCACATATGTGCATTTCACTGCAGTGTATTAGGTTCAGGTGGGAATGCAAATAAAAATAAAAAATGAAAAGAAGGAAAGAGGGAGGGCCGAAGATTGAAAGGGAGGGAGGGAGGGAGAAAGAGTGGACAAAGGAAAACTCCCCAGGAACCACAGTCATCTCAAGTTATCTAAGCCTGGATCAACTGTGGTCCAGAAGAGCAGCCATGAGAGCAACAAGGAAGAGCATTGTTCATTAATGGACCATAGATATGTGTGAAGGCTGGGACAGGAAAGGAAGGAATTTGAAAGAGAGAGATGAGTTTCTGATTTGGATGAGGCTGTCTTTAACCCTGGGGTTTGCTTTGACCTTCTCAAGCTGAGAGAGCAGACAGGTAAACAGATCCTCCTACAGCCTCTGAGGGTTTATGTGGATGCACAGGTGTGGATGCTGCCTGTAAATGCATCCTGGTCCCTGGCACTATAACGAGTGGCACCCATGAATGCAATGTTGGGTAGTTTTGGGTATTCTACTTCAGTACCCAGTTTGCACTCTCTGCCCACTCGCGTTTACACAGACTGCTACAGGACAGGGTGGTCCGGCAGGAATGTAGGACTCATTGTTATTGGGTAAGTTGGTGCATTTATTGAATTTCAGAACCCCTTTGTTTGTGGAAATCCGGAGGAATTATTTTTCATAAATTCATTATTTGATGAGAATTCTTATGTAAGTGTTATTTTCTCCAAATGCGTAAGAGATTAGTGTGGTATTACATTTTAGATTTTTACTTTTTTAAATACAGATACAGTTTACAGATTATTTCCTAATACTAAAATCTAATGTTTGTTCTTTATTATAATTTGAAAAGTCGGATTTCATTCGCTTGCGACACTCCATGTGTCACATGCCTGCATTTTTGTATTTTGTCCGTGTTCTATCTGAATTATTCATTACAGTTACAATAATCAGCCGAGGGAAGACTAGCTTCATCAGAGTGAAAACTTGGAGCAGCACACTGTAACCCATTACAAATTCATGGCATGACATTTATATTTTTAATGGAAAATTATACTCTGATCTGATGGGGAATTTTACTACAGCAATGACCAACTTTACACTTTGATATAAAACTGATCCATTGTGTGTATTTATGTTCCTGTCCGTGTTTTTATGCTCTAGGAAAAAGCTTCTCAGAGAACCAAACAAATACAGTTGTTCAGGCCCTGTCCAACTCGCCAGAAGTTCTAACGGAGGCCTATCGAATGACCAAAGGTAATTTGTCCATGTCTAAATAGGCTTGCATTCTCTCAGCTTTCCCCGGAGAAGAAGGACATGTTGTGTTTCTTTCATGACTAGTGTTGTACAGTTTTAGCTTCATGCCCAAATAAATATCCTCTAGCAAGCAGTTCCGTAATTGGATCTTTTATGACTCTGTTGTGTTTCAGTGTCTCGGTGTGTTCTCGGAGCTCCACTGGTGAATGTAGCCCAGTGAGCCTTCTCACAACGTGTTCATGCAGTGCTGGCTACGCCACAGGCTTCTCCACCGAACACAGCTCCATCTACTCCTGGAGATACGATGTAAGAATGTTGATGCCATCTGTTGCTCGGTATATCCCAGCACTGTTTAGTATGTGAATATGTAAGCAACTAAAATGGCTAAAACATCTCTCCATCAAGCATCTCTAATCTGCAATGAATCTTGACACCATTTTGATCTGACCGCTTATGCTTGACATTTGTTTCAAGTAGATGCATATTAAACACACTCAAGTACAAAAAGCTGTTGGTTATCATATAAAACAGTGGTCACCAACCCTGTTCCTGGAGATCTACCTTCCTGAAGCTCCAACCTTAATCATACAAACCTGACAAATCCTGACAAATCTAATCATTTCCTTAAGAAGTTCTTGATCAGCTAAAACAGGTGTGTTTAGATTTTGGTTGGAGATGAAACCTGTAGGAAGGTAGATCTGAAGCAACAGGGTTGGTGACCACTGATCTAAAATATAGGGTGGTTTTGATTCTGCCATATATCAGTTACATGGTTGATCCTTTTATTTAGCTGGATTTACAGTTGGGTTCATAAGTATTCGGACAGCAACACGATTTTTTCAAATGTTGCTTCTGTATACCACCACAGTGGATTTGAAATGAAACAATCAAGATTTAACTGAAGTCTTGACATTCAGCTTTAATTCAAGGGAGTAGTCAAGAAAATAATCATTTTATTATTGTGTTGGTGTACAGAGGCAAAACGACCAAAATTGTCACTGTCCAAATACTTATGGACTGACTACACATGTCAGGAGTGAAATAAATGATTTGTCTAATAGATTAGAGCACACCTGCATGCAGCCGTTCTAGATAATTGACAAGTTTGTTAACACAGTCGCAGTTAATATTCACAGGCCTCGATGGATCATTTGTTGTCACCCATACGTCACTGAAAGGCAGAGAGACAGAGAGACACAGTTCTGTTGGCCATGCTTGTCAAACATGGAACACTTGCCAGTGCAGAATTATACGATTGCCTTTGCCAAGAAAAATAAATGCACTGCTGAAATAGAAGACAGCTGTCCATATACTGGCATCCAAATTGGATACGCTTTGTCTTCCAAATGGAACACAAGGGCAATAACAATATTTTCAGCTGAAGAAAACACATTGCATAGGGAATATCACAATATACTGATGATTAACTGCTTATGATCACGTTACTAGTCCATCGGGGTGGTGGTGTAAGATGTTCTGCGCTATGCATTCAGGAATTTGACCGGGAGAATACTCAGCATGTACGACAGCTCTTTAGCGCCCTGGATGAACTGCTGTATGAAGGTAAAATGTGCAGTAAATCCGAGTCTCTACGCAAGGAGTGTGACGAGTGGAACACGCACTCCCCCCACCTCAGGTACACACCCATCTACATGTTCTCAGTACTTCAGCACCTGTATCTGCTTGTGTCTTTCTGACTTTAGAGTGTGCTTACTGTTCTGTTCTTGGAAATGAAGTGGGGAAATACAGTCAACTCCAGAATTATTGACACCATTGAAGAGATTTGTGAAAATTATTTTATAATATAAAGATTACACACACTGATTAGTGGTAATATAAATAATAAGTAGAACTCAATCATTGACCCACATAAGGAATATTTCAAATAAATGTAAACAAATTGTCATCCATCATCATGGAGAA